TAATCCTGCTCTGGCACCCCCACAAGCCTGAACCAACAAGTCAAAAAACACATCTTCAACTGTGTGTTTCTAAACCCCACTTTGTATTTCTTAATCCCCCATGAGTGCATTTTACCCTCCTTTTGTGTCTTACACCACCTTTAGTGTCTCTTATGCCAAAATATTCCTTTGTATGTCTTACACTTCCCTTGTGCATCTCTTACAACCCCCGTGTGTCTCTTACCCCAACTTGTGTGTCTCCTACTTCCTCCCTGACCATTTTTTGTGTCTCTTACTTCCCATAGCCCTTTTTGTGTGTCTTTTCACAAGCCCCTTTTCTGTGTCTCTTTCTCCTCTTCCTCAGCCCCTCTGTGTCTCCTTCTCCTCCCACAGCCTCTCTGTGTGTCTCTTTTTCCCCTTCTTCAGCCCCCTTGGGTGCCTCTTTCTCCCCAAAGCCCATTTGTGTGTCTTTTCCTAAGACCTTTTTGTGTGTCTCCTTATCCCCTCCACAGCCCCCAGTGTGTCTTTTTCTGCCTGAACAGCATATTTTGTGTGTCTCTTCCCCCAGCCTCTTTGTGTGTTTCTTCCCTCAGTTCATTTGTGTGTCTCTTTCTTCCATTCTTAAGCCCCTCTGTATGTGTGTTCGTCTTTTTCCTCTTCCCCAACCACTCTGTCTCTTCTCTCCCCAGCATTAAGTGTCTTTCCCCCCTCCATCCTTCTATGTGTCTCTTTTTACCCTTCCACAGCCCTTCTGTGTGTTTCTAACCTCCGGACCCTCTGTGTGTCTCTTCTCCCCACAGCTCCTCTGTGTGTCTCTTTTTCCTATTCCCCAGACCCTCTGTGTGTTTCTTCCCCCCCTTTCCAATCCCATCCGTGTGTTTCTTTCTCCCCTATCTGCTGTGCTTTCTGTTTGTCTCTTTCTCTCCCTCAGTCCCACCTATGTGTGTCTCTTCCCACTCACAACCTCTCTGTATGTCTTTTTCTCCTCCCCAGCTACATGTGTGTATCTTTCTCTCCTTCCCCAGCCCCTCTGTGTATCGCTTTCTCCCCTTCACAAACCCCTCTGTGTGTCTCTTCCCTTCTTCAGCTCTTCCCTCACCCAGCTTTCTCTGTGTGTCTCTTCTCCAAAGCCCCTCTGTGTGTCTCCTCCCCACCACACCTCCAAGATCCTTGTTAAGTCTCTTTCTCACCTGTCAGTTGTTTTGCTCACCCCTCCTGCTGGTCACCTCAAACATTGTGCCACCAGACTGGTGCGCCCTTATGGTTGGTTGGTGTGCCTTATGGCCAATGTTCATTGGATGATTTTTTTGTACTATTTTCTGTAATTTTAATCTCAGGATACGCAGTTTGAATATAGTTAAACTACCTGATCTGGTATTAATAAATCATATTTCTTAACCATTAGTGGGTTTGAAATACAACAGAATCTCCTTACCATGTCTGCATGTTTTCAGGCATTGAGTTGATGCTTTTTAAATAGCTTATTAGAAGTGGTCATTAAAAGGCACTATGCGCAACATAACCACTACAAGTCAGTGCCAATGTTGCCAAGAGTCTATGGAAGCCATTTGGGAGCGCTCCTTGGCACCTAGAGACCTTTCTCTTCTTTAGTAAACTTGATAATGCAGAAATAGCAGTATCAATTCTGGCAAACCTGGTCAACAATTATAGGCTCAGAGCACTAGAGGCAGATTTAACAAATTAAATCTGGGTAATGTCCCCAGAGATTCTTGTCAGTATAGTGATTATGTTGTTTAGAATGCCACTAAAATAATCAGGTGTAATGTACAGGTGTTCCTAATAAAATGACTATAGTCATAGGTGTGTGAAAATATAGCTATACTTTGGTATTTCTCTATAAATATAACGCTAGGATATACCATCCAACATTTCAAATGAGCAAAGAGTGTCACTTTTATTTTAGGGGAGTAAGGGTGTGGCCAGGGATAGACTGTTCTGAGAACTGTTAGGTGACTTACTAATAACAATTCAGGCAACTAATATGCAATTTATACCAAGAACAATTTATCTAATTTACAAAGACTGATTTGTAAACATAATTATAATAATTTAAATACAAATTGCTGTGTAGCTATGATATATTTACTCAGACACTCCAACAATATGGAGGTCCTAGAAAAAAAGGGACATTATGATAGAAAAGAGGCACAGAGGGATTTGGGCCCTCCTAAAGTTGGGAGACATTCCATGATGATGCACATGCAATGAGGAATGTCATTGTATCTGTTGTTGGTCAAACTTCCACTATAATATATATGAGAAATACAGAACACACCTAAACATGTTTACATTACAAGGCACTACTTGAATTATTTGATAGACTATAAAAATACAGCATGATCCATTTCTAACTAGCTTTAAAGCTTAAAAACTTTATAAATTCATCAAAAATAAAATATTGGGAATTTAGTTACAAAATGTAACTTTACATTACAAAAGCACCCTTAAGATTTAAGTATTTTAAGGAGAAAGCTGCATATTTGTCTTATATATTATATTGTATGTTTTAATAGTTATAGCTCCCAGTTATAGAACCACTGCTTATTACAGGTACCTCGTTACAGGGGAAGGTAGGACTTACTGACCTGAACCTGTTCCTCATTGGCTCTGTCATCCTCTTCCATCCAGTCCTCTTCAGCTCCTCTTGCTTTAGCTGCCAAGAACCAACATCAGCGCTGTACACATGAGTGAAAGTGAGGACTATGAAGGATCCTGCAAGACCACGGGATCCTCTATAGAAAGAGGTTTTTTTTCCCCTACAGCCTTCTACTTCACCTTCACATTTGTAATGTCTGCCTCGGTTTTTCCCCTGTCTAAACTGCATTACGATGATGTTTATAGAACATCTGTAATTTATAGAACATCTCTGGAAAATGGTTCACATACTTTTTGAGGATTTTTAATGTTTTATTTTAATGGTGTAAATTCCAGAGAAGGGACATTTCCCCTTTGAATATTCTGAAAATGCAAACAGAATTTAGCATGGCAGACAGAAAAACCATTGAGAGAAGTTCAAACCGTTGAGTAAGCAAAGTGAAAACCTGGAAACTGCATTATAATTTATATAGAAAGCAACATATAGGGTTCTTTTCATTTGGTGCCAAAGTGTTCAGTGTGTGAATTTGTTAGGCCTTTCAGGAAAGGAATTCCAAAGTTCTATCACCTCAATGAGTAGATTCTTAGACATTGCCAATCCTCATGAATCATAGGTAACTGTATCTACAAATTTATTTAAGTAGCTCATTAACCTATACCGACAAGCAGGAATGTATTTCTGCAAAGGCTGACTTGATCTGTGCTTAGGGAGGCAACATCAGAGTATTCTTTTTCTTTAAAATGTAAAAAGGTTTAAAAACTTGTTTGTTTTTTGATTCATCAGACGGCTACTTTTTTTTTTAAAGCAGTTGCCTGTTTTATATTGCTTCCCTGGTTTTTAGGGTGAAGGAGGGGAGCTATGCACTCTGTTGCATAGTCTTCTTTCTGCTTCCTCTAGCCAAAGAATGGCATTACTGAGATATGAATTCCTACTCCGCTCAATGCTCTGTGGCAGAGGAAGCAGGAAGGAGACTGTGCATTGGAATGTCTTCCCCCACAACAACTAGGAGAAGCCAAACAGAGTACCACATGTCCTAGGCACTGGCGGATCCAGAGCCTTATCTCGGGAGGGGCACTCATAGATTATTTAAAGAAACAATCCAGGCACAATAACCACTACTGCGCTCTGTAGTTATTATGGTGCCAGAAGTGCCGTGGCGCACTCCCAGATTAAATAGTCAAACTGTTTGACAATTTATCTGGGGTCTGCTAGGATAGGGGCTGTAGTAGGGGATAGGGCCTCTAGAAGGGTGTGTGTGAGTAGGCTGTGTGTGTGTGTGTGTGTGTATATGGGAGGCACTGAATGTGTGAGGGATGCAGGGTGGGTATGGGAGGCAGCGTGTGTGAGTGGTGCAGAGTGTGTGTGTGTACGGGAGGCAGTGCATGTGCGAGGGGTGCAGTGTGTGTATGTGGGACAGTGTGTATGGGGGTGCAGTGGGAGCACTGTGTGTAGGAGGGGCAGTGTGTGTTTGTGTGAGGGGTGTAGTGTGTTCATGGGAGTGCAGTGTGTATATGTGGGGTGCAGTGGGAGCACTGTGTATTGGAGTGCAGGGTTTGTGTGGGGGTGCACTGTGTGTATGGGGGAGAAGTGTGTGTATAGGGGTACAGTGGGGGCAGCGTGTGTATGGAGGAGAAGTGTGTGTATGGGGGTACAGTGGGGAAAGTGTGTGTATGGGGGTGCAGTGGGGGCAGAGTTTGATAGATTATGTATGGGGGTGCAGTGGGGCCAGTGTGTGTGGTGGGGCAGTGTGTATATGGGGGGCTTTGGGTGCAATGTGTATATGTGAGGGCAGTGTGTGTGGTGGGGCTGTGGGGGCAATGTGTATATATATGTGACGGTAGTATAGGGTATCACCGTCAAGCATTCCCTTCTTCCCATAAAAGAAAAACACCCAATATTCCACGAGTAGAAATATCCCTGGAATCGCCGAATAATCCACACATGAGCCAAAGCTTAATGCTGGAACAAGACTAATTTACTGGCACACAGAACTCACAATTTATGCAACACAAAACTCCTCCTCTGGGCCAGGCTAGATAATTGAGTTTCTACTATACACAAAGCTCAATTATCTGCTGGCCAGAAACATTACAATTTTTAACAATTTCAGAAACATACTTTTTACAAGACATACAAATATACTTTTAACATCCAAGGATAGCTGAGGATACTGGTAGTCACATATCCAAATCTCAAGAATTTCCAATCGGTAGTTTCCGTGTCGCATCGTGTGGAAGTTTGACCGGCTTGCCATGTGGAGGTATCCGAGTTAGAGTTCCATAGAATCAGTAGCAAGAGCCGGTCTCGGTTCGCATCGAACTACACGAAAACCACCGTTCGTATGGTTCAGCTGGTTACATGTGAATGTTCCCCTCATTCGGTAGATGCTATCTACCGAACGCCAGTTTGATTCGTGGAGGGGAATGTATTCATCCAGGACTTCCATGGGGACCGGGCGTTCGCATGTTTGCCGTGCCAAAATTAGATCCAGGCAGTTCATGCGTAAGCCCCGCTGACCGCATTTGTGAGTTTTAAGATGGCCGCCATCCTTTGTTCTCGCCACGTGTTCGTATGTCGAATGGCGGCCACCTAGTACCAATTAAGTCGCGGTTTTCTCTGCGTTCTAATGCTGATTGCTACCCAGGGTGTGTGGTCTCCGTTCGGTAAACGAATACATTCATTCCATACATATTGAACCGAACTGATACAGGCATTTAAACAGCAGGGAGAAGGTTTAACTGAAGGCATATATGTAAGTACAAGAGCTCCTTCACAATATAGTTACATAGTTACATAGTTATATAGCTGAAAAGAGACTTGCGTCCATCAAGTTCTGCCTTCCTCACATATGTTTTTGCTGTTGATCCAAAAGAAGAAAAAAACCTAGTCTGAAGCGCTTCAAATGTTGCAACAAACTAGGAAAAAATTCCTTCTTGACTGTAAAATAGCAGTCAGATGTCTCCTTGGATCAAGCAGCTATTACCCCACTAATTAGAAATTATATCCCTGTATGCAGTTTAAACATCTGTATGGACTCTGATAAAACCACCTCTTCAGGCAGAGAATTCCATATCCTTATTACTCTTACTGTAAAAAAAAAACTTTTCTGTGCCTTAGATGAAATCTCCTTTCATGTGTGACCTCGTGTCCTATGTATAGCCCTGTTTATGAATAGATTTCCAGATAATGGTTTGTACTGGCCCCGAATATATTTGTATAATGTTATCATATCCCCTCTATATGTCAGGGCAGTGTGTGTGGTGGGCAGTGTGTATGTGGGGGCAGTGTAAGTGTGGTGGGGCAGTGTGTATATGGGGGGCTGTGGGGGCAGTATGCATATGGGGCAGTGTGTATATGGGGGGCTGTGGGGGCAGTGTGTATATGGAGGGCAGTGTGTAGATGGGGTAGTGTGTATACAGGGCCGGTGCAAGGATTTTTGCCGCACTAGGCAAAAGAAGGATTTGCCGCCCCCCCACCTGCCCCCCTCCCCTCGGAACATCGCAATGCCCCACCCATATGAATTAACGCCAGTGCTGCACACAGTGTGTGTTTACATTAAAAAGCCTGCAGGGACAAACTATAGACACCAGAACAACTTTATTAAGCTGCAGTGGTTCTGGGGACTATAGTGTCCATTTAATGTGAGGTAAATTAGAGATTAGTGTCACTAATAATATACTAGATTGCCTACTTACAATCAGATGAGGATGGTGATGGGCTCTGGCTGCAGTCTGGCTCCACTGGTCTGGTGTAGAACAGGATCTCTGGAGGCTGTTTGTAACTGTGGTCACAAAATTCAATGTTCTGGGAGAACGGGAAGCAGCTCCATTTTTTGGGGCCTCTTACATAGCTCAAGGTCTGGGCCCCAGGGCCTGACGGTGAGTATGCCCATAAAGCCCACCCATAAGTCCACCTACATGTTCCACCCATGAACTCACAGGGAGTGAGTGTGTAGGGGGTGTGTTATGTGTTACTGTAGAGGATCTAATGTGTGTGCTTACAGAATGTAGTGTATAGGGATACCAGTTTGTGTAGGTGATGCAGTGTGTTTGTGTGTAGTGGAAGCAGTGTGTGTGTGTGTGTATAAGAGATGTATTGTGTGTTTCTTGTTGTGTGTAAGGGATGCATTGTGTGAATCTGTGTTTGTATGCATAAGTGATGCAAAGTGTGTTTCTGTGTATGTAAGGGATGCAGTGTGTGTGTGTCTGTAAGGGGTGCGTTGAGTGTGTGTAGGAGATGCATTGTGTTTCTGTGTGTGTGTAAAAGAAGCAGTGTGTGTTTGCATGTGTGTGTAAGGGATGCATTGTGTGTTTCTGTGTATATGTGCAAAGGATGCATTGTCTTTATGTGTAAGGGTTGCACTGTGTGTTTTTCTGTGTGTGTGTGTGTGTGTGCGCGTGGTGTGAAAGAGCTCCCTGTCCCCCTGTCCTATAGAGCTCTCCCTTCCATTACTTAGATATCTCCCCTGCCCTTAGTGGTCTCTCCTCTCCCCCCCCACATCCCTTAGTGGTCTCCTTTTCTCCCCGGCTTTCCATTAGTGGTCTCTCCTCTCCCCTCACCCTCCCCTAGTGGTCTATCCTCCACCCCCCTCCCTCCTTTAGTGGTCTCTCCCTCCACTACGTTCTCATCTCCCACCCCTCGTGTTCTCCTCTTCTTCTCCCCCGTGTTTTCCTCTTATTCCCCCCTCCCTGTGTTTCTCTATTCTGTATTTTTCCTCTTATTCCCCCCTCCCTGTTTCTCCTCTTCTTCTCCCCCCTGTAATCTTCTTCTTCTTCTCCCCCCTCCCTGTAATCTTCTCCCCTCCCCCTTGTAATCCTTTCCCTCCCTGTAATAATCTTCTCTTCTTCCCCCCCATAATCCCTGTAATCTCTTCTTCTCCCCCCCAATCTTCTCCCCCCTCCCATCAATCATCTCCCCCCATCATCTCCCACCTCCATCCCCCCTCCCTCCATCAATCATCTCCCCATCAAATCATCCTCCCCCCTCCTCTCATCAATCTCCCCTATCCATCAATCTCCCCATCAAATCATCTCCCCCTCCATCATCTCCCCCTCCCTCCTCCCATCAGATAATCTCCCCATCAAATCATCTCCCCATAATAATCTCCCCCTCCCTCCTCTCATCAATCATCTCCCCCATCAATCATCTCCCTCCCTCCATCAATCCCCCATCAAATCATCTCCCCCATCGAATCAAATCATCTCCCCCCCTCATCCAATCATCATCTATCAATCCTATCAATCTCCCCATCATCTCCCCCCTCCCTTCCATCAATCTTTCACCGGCCCTGCAGGAGAAGATATAGCAGTATATGAGGATGGTACAAAACTACCTGGTGATATGTGTGCTCCACTTAAAAAAACAGTGGAAACATCGATGGTTGAATAATTGAACTGAAAAACGGTAACTGAAGAGTGGAGATTCAATTCAAATACACAAAAAGATATCTAAAAATATAAAATATTGCATTGTGCAATCAATAAATATTGCATTGTGTGATCAGCTTATCTCTTTTGATGTCAAGAGATCATGTGTTATTTGTTGAACATCAGATTTATTAAGATTATTAACTGTCAGGCTTTTTTTTAATGCAGCAGTTTGTATGTATGGATCATGCTCATGCAGTCTTACTGTTTGATTCTTTGCCATTTAGGAGTTAAATCACTTTTATTTCTGTCTATATCATTCTAGCCACATCTCTCCTGGCTGTGACTGACATTGCCTGCGTGAAAAAAATGGTTTCATTTTCAATCAGATGTTACCTTGATTTAGAAGTTTTTAGTCTCCTGCTCTGGAAATTGAACTTTAATCACACATAGGAGGCTCCTGCAGGCTCTAAAAGGCTGTTAACAGAGCAGGAGATAAGAAATTTTCTAGACAGACTGTGCAATGAAGGAACCTAGAACATCCAGGTTCCTATGCAGGAAAGTTTTGGAAGATTGCACATGCAGGGAGGTGTGACTAGGGTTGTTTATAGTAAGCTGTAACGGACCGCCTGGCACCCCAACCGGGTGCCTCCGCCAATCGCTGCTTCCTAGTAATCCTTGAGTACCATAAGCACCGCACCGGACACCATAACCACCATAAACCCCACAGCTAGCGTTACAGCTTGGTTGGGGTCTCGCTGTCCTCCACTCACTCTGGACCCAAGACGGTGGCGGACAATTGTCCCCCCAAGAGCTGATGCTCTCTCCTGCAGGGTCCGATGCTATCCAAGCGCCTTCACGGACCGGTCTACAGGCACATTGTTGGGCAGCCAGCACAGGAGGGAGAGGAGACACGGGAGCTCTAGCTTGAAGCTCCGCCGGGTCTCCTCTCACAACCAAGGAGCATTGCCGCGGTTACCATGGCAACGGCCCGTTCTCGTGAGAGTGAACTCTAGCCTCAGGAGCTGCAGGCTAGAGTTCACTCCCCACTAGAACCACCAGGGATTCCACCAGAACACCAGGGATTGAAAATAATATCCCCCCTCTCTGTGCAAAGGTAAGAAGAAAGGGGGGATATAAAGAATATTTTTTTAATTAAAAAAAAAACACATTTGTTTTAATCTGCCCCAACATACACACACTGCCCCACATATACACTCTTCCCCCTATATACACACTTTCCCCATATCCCCCCATATACACACTACCCCCATATACACACTGCTCCCACAGCCCCCCATAAACACACTACCACCATATATACACTGTCCCCCATATACACACTGCCCCCACAGCCCGCCATATATACATTGCAGAATAATCTCTGTTTATACTGAGACTGACATTTGTATTGTCGGTATTACTGCAATACCGGCACCGGCTAGTCAGCCTCAAATACCTGAGAAATACTTCTGAGAAATACCTGGCAACCCTAAGAAATACCTGAGAAATACCTGGCAACCCTAAGAGTAGTGTGTGTAAAAAAATAAATAAATAATAATAATTTTTTTTTTTTTTTTTTAAATCAATGGGCCTATTCCATGGGCTTGGGCCTGGAGCTCCAGCTCCATCAGCCCCTATGTTAATCCGGCCCTGTCTGAGGCAGGAGGCTGGCAAGCAGGGCCCTCCAAGAGCCTGTGACGAGATTCAGTTTGTCACAAAAGTGATTTAACTCCTAAATGGCAGAGAATTGAGCAGTGAGACTGCAGGGGCATGATCTATACACCAAAAATAATTAATTAAGCTAAAGTTGTATTGGTGCCTATAGCATCCCTTCAAAGTGTTGCCAGGTTCACTAATCAATCATACAATTAGTTATGTGCATTCTTCGGACTATATGACCGTATGTGAGTTTATGTCAGTGTATAAACATGTAAAATATTCTATTTTTAAGTGAGTCTAAGTATGTATGTGATTATACTTTTCTATGTAGGAAAAAATGCATATCCCCATCTAATATCTTCTTGACCCAAGACTGGAGATATGAGGACCAGAAAGGAGCCAGTAACATGGGGTGGACCAACCTGAAACATGGACAGTGTGGCAAACCTAGCCACTTAAGACTGTATGTATGTGTAAGGGTTGTCTTGCAGACTGCAGGGATATGGCTGTATTGCTTTGTTTTATGTTCCGCTTTATATGTGTTAGAGAGCATTCGTATGCTAGCGGCCTGAAAGCCGCTAGCATTCATATGGTAGTTTCACGAACAGTCAATTTCAACACTGTTCGTGAAAAGAACAGACTACCGAATGGGAGACCACACAAGGGGGTTGTGTGTCTCCCATTAAAGACTGTAACAATGTATCTACAGCCCGTTAATGTGTGTCCCGGGTGGCCGCCATTTGTATGCCGAACACGTGGCAGCGGCCATCTTTGCTCATGAAAGCCCAGCGTTGTTTGGTCGTCAAGTGTCTGGAACTAAAATCACCTACTCAACTTCACGAACACTGCTGGACTTCCAGACCGTTCGGATGGATTATTCTTTCGGCATATTCAAGCTACCAGTATATGTTCACATTACAAGGTCTGTTCATCTGATACCGTAATTCGAATGGCTTTCGTTTAATAATGCAGTCATCCGAGCGGTATTTCACCAGATGGTGCGCTCAGATCCCAGCTATCTAATGAGGGGTCATTCGGATAAATCTAACACATATTTTATAAGTTATGTATTTTTGTGTAAAATTTTATATTTTGCTGTACTGAGAGATAATCTAATTAACAGTATATTCTTGGGTGATTATCTCTCCAGTACAGCAGGGCAGCTGGGAAATAACCTTGAATGGTCAGTTTCCCACACAGTCCCCTTGATTAAAACCCCTGCAATACCAGTTTGTAAACCCCTTGCATGGGGAACTGCATAAATACCGTAACCTGTGAATAAAAGCCAAGTTGACTCCCAGGCTATGTGTCGTCTAGTTCTTGGGAGGAAGGGATTATCATAACGCTACCTGGATTATTGTATGCTGTTCCTGTCTACCAGTGGAGATACTGTGGATTATACTACCTCTCCACTACAGACAGGCTCATCCATAATGTGGGCGGGTCAATCTGGCATGTGCGCAAGCCAGGTTGACTGACAGCCTCCCTGGCTAGCCCCACATAGGGCAGACCATGCATGGAGCGCAGTTCACATGCTATTTGCATGGTCCTAGTGCCCTGTCCTGTGCTTCTGGCCTGGAACCTTCTCTTGCATTCTGAAGTCTGCCCAGCACATTTATTAGCTGTCCTGCTGGCCAGATTTGAAAATGTGGGACACTCATTGTTGCTGTGACAGGCACCCAAAATGCAGAACTGTCCCAGCAAAAACTGAACAGTTGGCAAGTATTGTTTAATAGGGTTTAATTTTCAACATGGAGTGCCCTTGCTGTTTTTTTATTGGTATCATAAAAGGTCTCAAGTGTACAGAGCTTAATTCTTACCAAAATTGTTTTTACAGTTACAATACAAAAAACATGCAATACTTCATTTTGATGAATAAGGTTTGATAAGAACTGTCTTCATACAGTTATGGGAATTTGAATTCCGTGGTTTTTAATTATCAGGACATAATAACAATCATCTGTTGCTTAGCAGGTCTTAAAATTAGGTAAATAAAACCTCAGATGAACATTAACACTTGCCATACTACACTGTGTCATAATTTATTTAACAAAAATAAGGCCAAAATTGAAAATCCATGTGTGAAAAACTAAGTGCACCTTATGATTCCATAGAACGACCTTTAGCAGCAATAACTTGAACTAATAATTTTCTGTATGACCTTATCAATCTCTCACATCATTCTGGATTCATTTTGGCCAACTCTTCTTTACACTGTTCCTTCAGTTCATTGAGGTTTGCTGGTATTTTTTTATGCACATCTCTCTTAAGGTCTCGCCACAGCATTTCAATCGGGTTGAGGTTTGGACTTTGACGGGGCCATTGCTTATTTTCCCCCTTGATTATTTTCATTGTCAGTAATTCTGCTGTAGATTTGCTGGTGTGCTTGGGATCATTGTCCTGTTGCATGACCCAATTTCGGACAAACTTGAGCTGTTGTAGAGATGGCCTGACATTTGACTTTAGAATACTTTGGTATAAAGAGAAGTTCATGGTCAGCTCAATGACTGAAACATTCCCAGGTCCTGTTGCTGCAAAACAAGCCCAAATCATCATCCACTACAGGGCTTCACAATTAGTATGAGGTGTTTGTGCTGATATCCTGTGTTTGGTTTTTGCCAAAAGTAGTGCAGTGCATTATGGCCAAACATCTCCACTTGGTGTTGTCTGTCCAAAGGACACTGTTCCAGAAGTCTTGTGGTCTGTTCAGATGCAGCTTTGCAAACATAAGCCGTGCTGCCATGTTATTTTGAGACATATGAGGCTTTCTCCTGGCAACCCTTCCAAACAAACAATACTTATTCAGTATTCCGTATTTTTCTAATTGTACTACCATGAACATTAACAATCAACATGCTAACTGAGGCCAGAAGAGCATGAGATCTAACTCTTGTGTTTTTTTGCAATTTCTCTGAGCAAATTGACCATGGGGTGAATTTGCTGGGATGTGCACTTGTGGGAAGATTAACAGCTGTCTTAAATGTTTTCCACTTCTGACTAATCTTTCTCACTGTAGAATGATGGACTTTAACTTGTTTTGAAGTGGCATTATAGCCCTTGCCAGTTCTTTATGGGCAGCAACAATTGCTTATCTCATTGATCATTGCTGATGTCTTTCTTCCTTGGCATTGTGTTAACACACACCCGAATGCTCCAGACCAGCAAACTCTAAAACTTTGGCTTTTATAAAGGTAGTCACACTTGCTTATCAATTAATCAAGTGCATTTGATTAGCAGCACCTGTCTGCTACTTAACCTGTTAATTCTTATGGAAGCAGTAAGTGCGTGCTTAGTTTTTCACACATGCCTTCTCCATTTTGGCTTTATTTTTGTTAAATAAATCATGCCAAGGTGAATATGTTGTGTGTTGTTGTTCATCTGATGTTGTATTTTCCTAATTTTAAGACCTGCTAAGGAACAGATGATTGTTATTATGTCCTGATATGTAAAACCATAGAATTCAAAGAGGGTGTGTTAAAGTTTTTCCCATGACTGGATGTATGTCCATGGGTGAGCATAACTTTGTGAGATAAGGACCACATTTATGCGGGTGTAGACATCATTCAATCATTCTTAATGATGTGCATCTGTAACTACAGTAATATGTATATATATTTACATATGTATGTGACTCTACATATGTGGGCATAGTTCCAAACTAGTGGTTTGATACATTTCTGTACCCATTATATTCATTATATCTCTCTAGAACTAAATATTACAACTTTCAATTTTGAGAGCTGGGACTTTGAAATAAATAAAAAGGACTGGTTTGTAAAAGTTGTTATACAAAGTTTCAATACAGTAGCTGATACATTGCTGTACCATTTTCGTTCAATAGAGGCTGCCTAAAAAAAAGACTACTTGGTGTGCCCAGGCTCTCTCTTACCTGTGCAAAGTTTCTTGTCAGGCTGGTATTATGATATAAAGCCAGCCGGACAACTAGCCAAACATATGTCAGAAACACTGAAAATTCACACAGCAGAACACTGGACAATCACTCATCCAAACAATATCATATTCTGTATTTCTGTGGTACTGTAACAAAAGCATTTTAGTCGGTTTTCCAGAGCAGAATTGAGAGAAATAATGGGTTGGGGGCATTCACATACAGATACAAAAGTTAAAAGAAACAGGAGTGACAAAACCAATTTAAATACAATGAGCAGTGATGAAGTAGATCCTGTTTTCTAGACTTTACAATGAAGTTCTTTCTGCCTTAAAAAGTAATTCATAGCTCACCACATTAAGTTATTTTTTTTGTATAGAAAATGAACCTGTCACTACAACTCCTCTTCTAGTAAACTGAATCTTACTCTCTGCCTCTCAATAGAAGTGTGAATATTGGTTTCTTGACAGTGTTTCAGTTGCACTTGTGGGGGTAGTGTATTGTTTTTCTGTGAGAATCTGTGGATGGAGAGGAAAGGTGACAATAGACAGGAAGCAGTCAATGGACTCCTTTAAACATTCCAGGGCTCTTTAAACAGTAGCTGAAAATAACAAGCAATATAGTGGAAATCCTTGCATTTCACCTTCCAAGTTAAGTTGTAGCTATGCCCTGTTAAAAAAATAAAAAAAAATAAAAAAAAACTAAACTAAAAAAAAAACAATATAATATTCTAATTACAGTTTTATCACACCATGCAAATTATTTGTCAGTATCTACTGAGACAAATATAATTTTATCAATATATAATAATTTAGATATATGTCTAATTCCACCAAATATATTTGTATATTACCATTTTAATTGGGATCATTTACCTTGTCATTGTGTGTATTGTCATGGTTTATAGAGACATATTGTCTATCACTGATGCAGTAACTGAATACTTTAGCCAAGATGTTTTGCAATCATATTACATTAGCATTTAGCTCCTGCTGATTTGATGATCCCTGCTTTGTTTTGTAGGACAACAGCCCATTGAAAACATTTTAACATAAATAATAACATTTATTTAAAGCTTTTTTAAAAAGCCCACCTATCTGTAATATAACAGCATATTCTTTCACATTGATGATCAGATAGACTTTTTTTTTTTTTTAATTATCAAGTACAGTACTACACTTGTTGTGGCTATTATTAACTATAACGTATCTAATGGAAAGAAGAACAGTGACTAATGATGCTTTGAGCTTGAGTACATCACAGCCTTTCCTGGGAGTTAGATGCTCCAATGCGGTAAGGCAGCATCTAAGCACTTCACATTCTGAAAGGAGTACATTGCAAGTTTTAATAGTACAGAGACAATTGGTAAATCATTAAACATTCAGTTGTTGCTGAAAAAAGGCTTGTCACTTGTGGAGGCCTTTTATTGTTTTATTTGATTTTTTTTTTTTTATTACAGCAAACTACATACAGGTATTATTTACATAATAATAAATGCTGAATAAAATGTTAGAAGTATATACTTACCCCAAAGTCATACTATATGATGCTTATTACAATTACAATGTTGATTAGTTTATATAAGGTGTTTGTCCTACCTGCAACTCTCCCATTGAGGTGCACTGTAATTTATTACTGATATAGGACTCTACACCCTGTTCCAAATTATTACGCAAATTATATTTTTCTCATTTACCTAAATAATTGATGTAAATAACAGTCAGCATAATTCTTATGTTATCAACTATTAAGAGTACAATTCACATTTTATTGAACAAACCTCCTTAAAATAACAATATTTTTTTTAAACATAAAAAACTTACAATGCACTGTTCCAAATTATTACGCACAGTAAGTTTCAAAACACTTTATAGGTTGTAAAGAACTGAAAATTGTCATTTGTTGTGTTTGCAGCATATTTACTGAAATCAAAAGCTATTTCAATCAAACTTATAACAACATTTTAACTTTTTAAACATTTTATCCGGTCACGTTACATTTTAGCATAGGCCCACTTATTTGATAGCAGCTTTTTTTGGACAGTTTCTGCTTGAATTTGTTTGCAAGATGTCAGAATAGCCTCCCAGAGCTGCTGTTTGGATGTAAACTGCCTCCCACCCTCATAGATCTTTTGCTTGAGGATGCTCCAAAGGTTCTCAATAGGATTGAGGTCAGGGGAGGATGGAGGCCACAACATGACTTTCTCTCCTTTTATCCCAATTGCAGCTATTGATGCAGAGGTATTCTTTGCAGCATGAGAGGGTGCATTGTCATTCATGAAGATGATTTTATTATGGAAAGCATAGTTCTTCCTTCTCTATCAGAGAAACTCCACATACTTTGCAGAGGTCATCTTTACACCTTTGGGGACCCTAAAGGGGCCGACCAGCTCTCTTCCCATGATTTTCGGGCCAAAACATGACTCCACCACCGCCTTGCTGACGTTGCAGCCTTGTTGGAACAGGGTGGCCGTCCCCCAAACATTCACTACTCCATCCATCTGGACCACCCAGGGTTGCACGGCACTCATCAGTAAACAGGACTGTTTGAAAATTAGTCTTCATGTATTTTTCTGCCCAATGCAGCCGTTTCTGCTTGTGAGCATTGGTTAGTGGTGGCCGAATAGACGAATTATGCACAGTTGCAAGACTCTGGAGGACTCTACACCTTGATGTCCGTGGGACTCCAGAGGCACCAGCAGCTTCAAATATCTGTTTGCTGCTATGTAATGGTATCTTAGCAGCTGCTCTCTTGATCCGATGCATGGATCTGGCAGAAATCTTCCTCAATGTACCTTTATTTGCACAAACCCGTCTATGCTCTAAATCAGCCACAAATCTCTTAATAGTGTGATGATCACGCTTAAGTTTTCGTGAAGTATCTAATGTTTTCATACCTCGTCCAAGGCATTGAACTATTTCACTCTTTTCGGCAGCAGAGAGATCCTTTTTCTTCCCCATATTGCATGAAAATGGTGCTCTGCTTAATAATGTGGAACACCCTCCTTTAGTAGTTTTTCCTTAAATTGGGCTCACCTGGCAATCTAATTATCACAGGTGTCCGAGATAGTTTTCAGTGATCAAAAGAGCCCTGAGACACAATGCCATCCATGAGTTAAACTGAAAAACAAAATATTTCATCTTTGTGTCACTTAAATAGAATTTGCATAATAATTTGGAACAGGGTGTAGACTCAAGGAATCTTAATCCCAATAACATTCAATATATCAAAATGTTCCTTCATTATTACGAACCATATAATGGTTTTATACCAAACAGGGAGGAGGTTGGGTCACAGGTCAATAGGTTGAGGGAAAAGGTAATACCTACATAGTGTAAACTGCTGGAATCCACCAATTGGAAAGGAAGCTGATGGGAGACAGAAAGAACACATGCTGGGCTTTGGTTCTAGTATGCCTAGATATAAAATTAGATTATGTGACTACTGGTAGCCATCTCCAGACAGCTCAATTTTATAATATATACATGCGAGATGGAATACTCTACAGTGATACACAAAACACAACATGGCATGACTGGTCATAACAAAAGAAGATACAATAGAGTATTACCATATTAATTAACTATTATATAATGGTATCAGCCGACACCATCTAATTCGTGTTGTCATCTAACTGAGTGACCAACCTTATGACTAGGTGCCTAAATTGTTTAATCTCCCTACACATTCCTTCTTTTTAACTTTTTTATACCTTTAATTCCTCTATTGATATAGACCCTGTTCAAATTTGCTCTGAATAAATTAATCTAAAAGTTCAGGAATGTATGAGTACCCTTTTTTTGTTTCAAGAATTTAACATAGCCTAGGAAGGAATTACCAGTTAGCAGACTTCCAATGTACTGTAAAATGTGACAACCAGGTTACTGGTTTAATTTTGCTTGATTTCTTTACTAATGAATCCCTGCTGCATGTTAAGCTTAC